GTTATGTGCATTATTTATAATCAAGAAACTTTATATTATAGTCCCATCGAATCATATTTTCTAAAAAAAAAAAAACAAATCAGAGCCAATTGATCTATACAACTACTAACAAAGAAGAGAAGGAATAATTTGAAGATGGAAGCAGCAAAGAAAACCGCAGCTAATGTTGCCGCTTCAGCTAAGTCTGGCATGGAAAAAACAAAGGCAGTTGTTACAGAGAAGGTTTTTTATCTCATATTTTATTAACTGTCAAAACTATCCTTTGTAACTCTCAGTACGTAAGGGGTATTGTTTATTCGATTACCTTTTTGGTCGTTAGCGAAATGTGAAATCAGTTTCACATGAAGAGTAATTAGTATATTTGATTTGTTATAATCAATTAGATTGAAATTTTGTTTGGATAGGCAGAGAAATTGACAACAAGTGATCCAGTGCAAAGACAAATGGCGACGGAGAAAAAGGAGCAGAGAATCCATGAAGCGGAGATGGATAAGCTAGCGGCGCAGGAGCAGAACGCGGCCTCAAAACAAGCGGCTGCCACTGGAGGAACTACTGCGTATACTGCTACTGGTGGTGGTGTGGGTCTCGGTCACACCACCACCGGTACACATGGCATGACCGCAGGTCATACTGGTCTTGGTCACACCACTGGGACACATGGCACTACCACGGGTCATACTGGTCTCGGTCATACCACCGGTACACATGGCATCACTCCAGGTCATACCGGTCTCGGTCACATGACCACTGGGGCACATGGCACTACCACCGGTCTTGGTCACACCACTGGTACACATGGCATAACTCCAGGTCATACTGGCCTCGGTCACACCGTTGGGACACATGGCATCACATCAGGTCATACTGGTCTCGGTCACACCACTGGAACACATGACATCACAACAGGTCAAACCACTGGTGTGACCGGGACACACGGCACTACCGCAGGGGATGCTACTGGTGTGATGCCGGGAGGCCTGGCAGCTGAGCACCAAACCGGGACCACAACGGGCGTGGTGGGGAGCGAGTATCCACCGGGGACAACCACAGGAAGCGGAAGAGCTACGGTTCAAGGCCCTAATACTGGTGGATCATCTACCACTGATTCTGCCTTTTAATTACCTAGATAGGAAGTTGTTTTTCTCGTGTGAGTTGTAAAATTAGTACTTCCAAATGTTGTTATGTAAACCGTGTTATCCAATACAAGAATGTATTAAGAGTTTGTCCATGCCATCTCTTTTTTTCCTTATTTCTCAAGGAGTTTTGAGTAATATACATCACATCCCATAAAGTAACCTTATATTTTGTATTATATTTAAGATTTCAATAGCGAAATCAGAAATTTATACGAAGAGATTCAAATAACATTCAAATTTTAGAATGTAATAGTGGTTATAATTTGAATAAAATTCTTGCATAGTTGTAATTTGAATATACAATTTAAAAGTAAATTTGAACTTCATGTACATCTATATTCGAATTTTTCGTTGTATCAAGGGGTTTAATAACTCACGTATAACCAAAAAAAAATAGATTAAAAGTAAATTTGAACTTCATGTACATCTATGTTCAAATTTTTCGTTGTATCAAGAGGTTTAACAACTCACGTATAACCAAAAAAAACAGATTATTTTATTTTATATACGTCTAATATAATCTTTTGACTGTATATCCTTAATAAATACTTGGTTCAATTTCTAAAAGGAGACTACTTAGGTTTACTAATGAAATATAAAACTTGAACTCTATTTACGTCGTAGTGTAAATGTAATTTTTTGATTTCCAACTTAGTTCTATCGCTATTTTCATTTTACTATTTTTCAAATAGTACTTAGTTTTCTTTCATTAAAAAAAAAATAGTACTTAGTTCTATCGCTAACAAATAGACTACTTAATTATGACTACTAGAGAGATAACGCAGGTTTTATTCATAGGACGTGTCTTACATCAACTAAGGTTAAGATCATGTTTTGCATATTGTTACTCTATAGCGACTCGAACTTGAGCGTCATTGTATTATAGGTTTTCGTTTGTTTTAAGGGTGTTCAAAATACTATATATACTGATATAAAATAAGACTTGACTTTATACATAGCATAATTTTTTAATGAATATTAGGACGTCTAGCGACTCGAACTTGAGCGTCATTGTATTATAGGTTTTCGTTTGTTTTAAGGGTGTTCAAAACACTATATATACTGATATAAAATAAGACTTAACTTTATACATAGCATAATTTTTTAATGAATATTAGGACGTCTAGCTACACACCTTGACACTACTGTATAGCTCCTCCCCAGCAACATTCATATTTAATGTAACAATATAGCAATAATAGAATATTTTAATAGTAAAGTGAATTTTTTCATTATATATAAAGAAAAGTAGAAACTCTATTATTCCATTTTCAATAGTAAAATAACTATATAGACAATCAATTCTCTTATTTCTCTTTTTTTTTTAATGCAATACATTTCAAATTTTAATCTGTCTATCAAATACAGAAAATACTCTGCATTTTTTCTAATTTTTTTTTAAAAAAATCATTATTATATTATATATTTTTAAAGTACATTATTAGAATTCAAAGTCATCTTTGCATGGACTAGTTGATACAAATCCAAAAAGGAATTAAAGATGTTTATCTATTCAACTAGTGAAAACAAAACGTGTCAAAACCTCAAGGATTCTACATCTCATGACTCACCACGTGTACATTTATAAATATTTACGTGGCATCACTCAGTTACCTACCCAACTCCTATATAAACTTTATGCCGTAACTTTCACAATAATCGAAATTACAAACAACAAACACACTTTAGAAAGAAGAAGAGAGAAAACGAATTAATCAATTAGCAGAGATAAAAAGAAAAATGCAGACAGGAAAGGACGCAGCATCTGCAGCCAAAGCTGGCATGGAGAAGACTAAAGCCAATCTTCAAGAGAAGGTTTCCAATTCCTTACCTTTAATAGGTTCTTTAAGTGTCTTTTGTGTTTAGAGGTCCGGCGGGTTGCGGATTGAATTTGAATGACGAGCAGAGTTAATATGTAAGGTTTATTGACTCGTCTAAAAATTATTTAAGTTAAATTAAATTAAAATACACATCATAACTTGATCCGCTTTGATGGTTTTTTATTTTTTATCATGATTATATAAGATAAAGATATTTGTAAAAATATTTTTATGAATCAATTTAGGCTATATATTTGTGGACTAATATGAGCTACTCTCTCTGGCATAGCTAGAGCCACCCTAGGGTGTGTATATTTTAAATTCTATATTTAAAGGATATATATTTAAAATTAGATACCTATGACAAAACATAGCGGTCAAAGAGTTTTGAATTCAAACCCCAAATGGTATAATTTTACAATTTTTTATTTTGACCGTCACATACCATTATTTTTGAACACCTATAAAATTTCTGGCTCCACCAGGGACTATGCCTATAAATAAATAGGTTATTTATAAATAAATAGGTCAATAACTCACTCAATTTTTTGTTGATTGAGTTATATTTTTAAAGTTATGAGTTCATATATATCTATTCGTGCAGGGTGAGAAGATGACGACGAGGGATCCATTGAAGAAAGAGATGGCAACGGAGAAGAAAGAGGATAGGGTTGCAGCGGCGGAGATGGAGAAGAGAGATGCTAAAGCACAGCATGCAGCTGCAAAACAAGGAGGAGCTACAACTGGAACTGGAACTGGAACTGGTTATGGTGCCACCACTGGCGATCATACCACTTTTTAGAAAGAAAAAAGCTAGTTACTTTTAATTTTGGTGTTTTTTTTTTGTTTTGTTATTAGGGGAGGGATGTGATTCACACTTTTTGTGTGGGTGTTGGCTTTTAAGATTGACACCAAATTAAATAAATAAAGTGGTACTCTTCCTATATTTAAAATTGTTTTATGTTTTATTTCGTAGTAGTGCAATTTTGGACATGTAATTTTATATTATGATTTTAAATTTTTTAAAATATAAAATATAATTGATAAGTTTAAGAAGAGGTTATATATAAAAAATAAATGAAGAGTTATTACTGTTGATTAGTGGATATTTAATTTTAAAATATGAAAAAAGGTGTGATTTATCAATGTGGTGTTTATGAATTATGATTTCTTCATTTATAAGAGTACAAAAATTGATGAAATTTTATTGTTTATCATAAATTTGTAGGGCTCTATATTAATGAAAAATATTACTACCATTTAAGAAATTTAAATGGTATATGGCATGTCCAAACAAAAATGTATAAGTTCCCTAGAAATTTTTATAAATATCATATTTGGGTCCTAGAAGTTGAATAATAGTACTTTCTCCATTTCCAAGTTTAGTGTTATTCTAAAACTGAAGATAGAAAATCAATTTGGCTTTTCCACTATATTCTTATAGTCCCATCTTTTTTATAATTTTTTAATTTTCAAGAGACATTTATTAAAATAGATAATTTAATAGATCTTATGTTACATTTATTAATTTTAATGAACATGATTTTTAATTGTTATACTTATTTTGAGACAAATCCTTAATTAAATGTGTTTAAACTATATATACTTGGCTTTAAGTATCCTTTGTTCTGATTTTTTTTTATAATCATTATCTTTTCAAACAATAATTAATTCTACTTATCTCTTTGTTAGGAGAACAATTGTTTAAAATAGTGGATTTTTTTTTTTTATTTCCTTGAAATTTGTTGCTTGCCAGAAGTTTTATCCTTTTAAGTAAATATGAAACACAAAAAATCCCAATTTTCTCCTCATCCTAAAAATTCTCTACTTCAGACATTTTGCTAACACTTCGATGAACTCTAACACCTGTCTCGACAGATGTCGAAATGTTAGTGAAGAACGGTAATGTGCGATGCAATATGAGGACATGTGTTATACCGTTACTCATTAGCCAAATATATTTAAATCGCGATAGTATAATACTATTATATAGCATAAACTAATCGAGCATAAAAGTATTTTTACATTTGCAGAAACTAATTAGAATAACAAAATGCAGTCATTGAAGGAAAAAGCATCAAATGTTGCCGCTTCGGCAAAATCTGGCATGGAAAAAACTAAAGCTACTGTCCAAGAAAAGGTTATCTTTCGTTTTTGTTTTCTTTTACTTTCCATCCATAATTTTACAATTATTTCGTTTAAATTTGTTTGTTTTACTTTTTTAAGGTGGAGAAGATGAAAGCTCATGATCCAACAGAGAAAGCGATGGCAACAGAGAAGAAAGATGAAAGGATCTATGAAGCAGAGATGAACAAGCAAGTAACTCAAGACCGCAATGCAGCTCTCCACCATGGCGCGGGCACGGGCACAGGGAGGCAACATTATTCAAACACAACCGCGGGTTCCACTGGACATCCTCATAACAGCTAACCAGGGCAATAGCACTGGTGGTAACTGGTAATTATAGTTAGGCTCGGGAGGAGCACAATAAAGTTACGGGTTAAGCAAAATTCAATAGCTGCTATTGAGAATCCAATAAATAAAAAGATTTGTGATCAAAACTCACGACGATCATCAAATCCTGAATCCAAATCTATAGTTAGGATATCATATTGAGCTAGATATATTTAGCTTTTGAAGCCTGTGTTGCCTTAATGACACTACATTTAGGTGTTTCAATTGGTAATAGGTTTTTGAGGGGTTTAATTTCCCCTCTTCTGCATGTTGTTATATTTTCTGATTATTGTTTGTTTCAAGAAATGCAAATTAGTTAAATTATTCCATGACAAACTAACTTGATGCAAGTAGTAGTTTTCATGTTAGACACACTGGAACAAAAGTACTAATGGAGACATACATCCCGCTAAAGAATACGATAACGATCACCAATGGTTCAAAAGGGAAAAAAAGGGAAGAGTCAAGCAAGATCATGTAATCTAATGATATTCATGCGACATCCTTCAGACAACAATCAAAAACTACCAAGATATAGAAGGGATTAATTAAATAAATGAAAGAGAAAACAGAGCTAATAAGCAACTAACACAACTCAAAAAGCTAGAACTAGAAGTGTACTGTTAATAAGATATCAATTCATGCCTAGATAATACTCGGTTCCTCTCATGAAGTTGCATTTCATAACTAGAGCCCAAAATTGAGATATACAATGTATCAGCATGACCGACCACAAGCAAGACACAGAGAAGAACCTGCCTCTTAAAGTCACGCTCCTGTTTTGCGCATTTCAGCATCCCCATGGGCAAAGTGGCACCTATCCCCGAAAGTGCAAGACCCTTTAGCAAAATTCTCGCAGAGCTTCGTCTTGTAATTGCTCATAGGAGGGGCGGGGCCACCAGGACCAGCCGGACCTCTTCCATGACCTGAAGGAGCTCTCCCAGGGCCACCTACTGGACCAAGGCTGTTGATCAACTCTCTTACCATAGCACTAGCCTGAGAAATTTGTTCAAAGGTACCCTCCAGTTCAATGTTTCTGAGATTAGTGTCTGTTTCATGCTCCCGGATTGCCAGCTTTGCTCCCGTCTGTCGACAAATCTGCTTAGAGTTCACACCACCCTTCCCAATGATTGCTCCAGCGAGAGAAGAATCCACACTGATCTTTGCAGTTGCCGTGGTACCAAAGCTAGCAGCAGGTCCAGAAACAGGAGGCTCTGTTCGCCCACCAAAACGACTAGGAGCAGGTCCAACCCCCATGGAACGTGGATCTTCCTGTGATGGCATAATCGGCTTGCCAATTTGCCATTCCCCGTGGGCAAAATTGCATGTGTCTCCAAATTTGCATCCCTCAGCAGTGTTGAATTTGTTGCAAAGTTTGGTTTTCACAGCAGGAGCATTTCCATTGGACATGGGTGGTGCAGCCACATTTCTTGATGCTGGTGGAGCTGATCCTAAGTTCATCATCTGGGCCACAGCATTATAGCCACCAGGGACATGATGAAGGAAATGACAGCTCTCACCGAATGGGCAGCCAGCAGTGCTGTGTAAAAACAAATCGAACAAAATCAACTCCAAACCAAGCTAAGAACATAATTCCCATCTCAATATTAGCAAACAGGTATAATCCAGAAAGCAGATATTATCAATTCACCATAACAGGACTAGTATACTAATGCAAATGAGAATCTTATCCAGACCATATTCTAAGAACAAGGGAAAGGGCATCCCACAGAACAAAAAAAGCAAGCACTCTAGTTGCACTCAAGTGCTTTTAACAATGGTGGATAACTGCAACCAATATTATATACATACAACAGAGCTGCAAAAAAGGGTTTGCTGACTTCCTAGGCTCCAATCAGGCAATCACCAAGAAGACACAGTACAACTACTTCCCTTTTGCGCACTCCAATCTCCAATGAGAAGAACATTTGAAACAACTGATTTTTTGAAACAAACGATGTTCAAATGAAGAAAAGATAACAACTCTCCCTGTTATTCATCCAAAGCAAAGGACATAAAAAATACTCACTTTGATTAACATTGAGGAAAATTGAATAAATAAAAAATCAGGTCAAAATTGACTGAATCCTTCAGGTTATTTGCTTTTGGCCTGTTTCATCACAATCTAATAATTTTTAAGACAAGTACGGGTTCTTAAGACTATTCCTTTGAATAAAATAAAGAATCCTTATGAACATACAAATCCTTACTCTTATCCTACACAGAAACATACAAATCCTTAACCAAAATAAAAGAATCCTTATGAACACCAACCTAATGTATGTGCAGACAACAACTAAGCCTCTTGATAACTTGATACACCATCTTGGATTGTGTGCTAGCACTATGTTCTATTCTTAGCTAAGAATGCATTGATTTAAAAAGTTTCTGACTTTAGAAAATACTTCCTTTCATGTAATTGAAGAGCATCACAAGGACGAAATTTCAGCACCCATTCAGCCCTTCTGAACTGAAGAAAAAGGACATCACCTAAATCCAAGCTCATTACTCTTTCAAAAAGGATATGGCATGTACTTGTAATATAAAGCATCAAATGGTAAAGTGTCCCACAGATGCCTTCTGTACCATTTTGCAACTCAAACTTTTTAAGAAGTCCACTAACTTGTAGACACAGAAAACTGAGATTCAGCCATTTTAGACATTAAATAAATACCTCTACATGGATTATACCAACTCTAAGCAGCTTTACAGTTAAAAAAAAAAATTACATACCTGTTTGAAACATATTAAGGCTTGAAAAAAATCATTGCAGTACATAGTAGATAGAAACTTTGGAGGACTGTGACAATATTTTATATTAGAGTTCCCCTCTCCTCCAAGTGTATTACAGCGGGTAAATATTTATCTCTGTGGATATCGTTAACAGACAGCTGTCTCATCATTAACTATTAAACAATTTATTGAGAATTCATCAACCTCAGCCCTCAAGGGCGAATATTTATTCTTTCGAGCTTCTCACAACAGGAAAATACTGAACGTTTGGATCTTGCACTTGATACCAATTAAAAGTCCACAACAAATTTAAAGTTAAAAAATGTCATTAGGTGGGAAAGATTTGAACCTGAAAAACTTCGTGCATGGCTTCGTTTTACTTCCTATACCACCTGATAAGGAGTCCATTTCTGTTGCACCAAATTAATTAATTTTTACAAGTTAGAAATTTTGATAGTTTCTAAATTGATGCTGGACAAAATTTTAAAGATATCATATACTTTATTAACATCGTAACGAACTACATTCAATTATAACTCGGAAACTCAGAATCTCAATATTAGAGAAGAGAGTTCACCATATATTCTGTAAGATATACCTTAGTCGTCGCAGTAAATAAAGATATAAAGCCACACTACACTGTAAATTCAGTGTCTTTAAGGTTTTGTATACCCTTTTCACCTAGATAAAGCTTTCAGGCTTTCTATGCATATTTCAGAGAGAATTCATCTTCTTCAATAATTAGAAGTTCATCTCTTCCAGCTGCAAGTGATAAACATAAAGTTCCCCTAGTAAACAGTTAAGACACCAAGTTGTCTCTCTTCAAAAATTTCTTCCCCTTCTTACGATTTATGCAAGCCTCTGTTCATCCTCCTAAACATAAATATTTTACTTCTTTTTCAAGAGAGTATTTTACTCAATTTAGCGTTAGCACTGGTTCAAAGTACTTAAACCAGCAGCCATTCCTGCTCTACCGCCTCCCTCGATTACAAGAGAAGTCAGAACAAGGAGCCAAATGAAATACGGAAAAGCTTTCAATACATGAGACATGAACATACCAAAATCTAAACAACATAAACGAACGGTGCAGATAATGCAAACAGTATTCCTCCATAAGATTCATAACGAGAAAACGACAATTCAAAAAGGCCAAATAAGCATAAAACTGAGAACGAAAGTAGATCTATAAAATGTACAAACCTGGCTTTGATTTCTTCAAACCTCCATTGAAGTTCGAACCAGCTTCATTTCTGCTTCTCTTCCGGAAATCCATAGCTACTTAAAACACTCAGATTCGAATAACTGAACAAAAAAAACTCTGAAAAAAAACAAAAGGAAAATATAACTACATATAGAGCCCTAAGCAAAGCAGTAGAAGTAGACGAATGAAAAAAACCAGTACGTTAAAACCCTAACCCTAGTTCTAGGGTTTATCGGTGAAGGAGAAGAGAGCGTGAAGATGAGGAGAATGAGATATATATGAACAGTGGATAATAATGGGAATATCTTTGATATTTTCTTTGAATTTATTTGGAGGACGAAATTACGACGTGGAGAAATTGGAGGAGATCACGTGCTATATCTACGTGCACTTTGTGGATCTACTATGCTAGGGCTTTAGTTGTGTTTTTGAGGCCTTTTAAGTTAGGTCCAATAGGGTGATGCTCATGATGAAGGACGGATTTTTAGGTTGATAAGTTTTTGATGAAGATATGCACATGTTATTTAAGTAAATACTCATATTGAAATGTAAAAAAGAGAGTGAAGGAATTTATATGGCATAACACAAATGTATATTGTATCAGACAGACAGATAAATTTCTATGCAGATAAGTTTTTGAAGAAGTTATGCAGGTGATATTTTAAGTAAATACCATATTGAAATGGAAAAGATAAGGATAACACAAATGGAATATAAGCATTTTCGAGACTGCAGTTGATATTAGAAAAAGTTAAGATCATTAAGAGATGACATGAGAAATTGGTATACGCAGGAAAAATACAACTTGATTTTGAGAGGGAAGTACTCTATTTCGAAAGCTATTTAGCTATCTTAGGAAACCAAGAAAAGGTTGATGTTGTTGTTTTAATCTGGAATACAGTAGCATAGTCTAAAGATAGGTTTATTATGTAGTTAGTTATTAAAGAGAGACGGCTCATCAATGGGAGATTGAACCAGTTGAATATTCATATGGATAGCCTACAATATTGATTGTATAACTATACATATGAGGGAACCACTA